GATAACATAATTAAATCGTTGGACAAAAATAATGATGGAAGTGTCAGCTTTGATGAGTTTGTGATGCTTATAAAAAGGATAACTACTAGAGGACAGTAAGGCATCTGCAAGAACAAATATCACTGCACTGAAGAACAGCCTGGCATTTGTTTACGTTATTCATACATCTAAACCCACAGATTTGTTATTATTTTAAAACATATGGAATAAAGATTTAACAGGTAACAAGTGTGTCTGCATTGTGTTTCCTGCATACTCACCAGCCACACTTTCCAGCTGAAACGCCTTGCAATTAGTTCAGAACTACCTGTTTCTATTTCACGCTACATCTGAGGTGTCATTTAACAAACCCTGCTTTACCTGAGCTACTATTTGGACCTCTAGAGCAATTCAAATCACACGGTTTCTATAACACACGAAAAGAAAGATGTAGCATTCCATTTGAGGAGTGTTCCCTAGTGGATACCATCCAATACTCCTCCCAGTTCAGTTTCATCATTACATAAGACAAAATTGCCATAGGGCAAACAGTTCAATTTTTTAGAACATGAAGTACTTATTTTCAGTAACAATGTAACAATGCCAAGTATGATAATTGCAACATTAAATTATATTTATGTAAGTACGTTATTTTTTTTGTTATTACTCCTGTAATAGGTAATTACGTATATAAACTGAGGGATTGCTTTTGCAACTAAAACATTCATTACCTTTCTCTGGTGAAGCTTTAACCTTTTCATTGCATGATTCCTGTGACAGATGTGTTTTCCCACAAGTAATTTATGGGCATTATTATTTACCTTAAGAAGAAATTAGTCAAAGAAGAGAAATGAGAAGAATGAAAATTTTGAAGGCAAGTAATCAGCAGATTAGGCGCTAATCCTGCTAGATAACTTGGAACTTTGGACTGAATTTTAGCACCAGCACCCTCCATTATCTTGATAAATTAATTAGATCTCAGAGTTACTTAACGACTTAAAGACTCAGATTAATTGCAAAGTCTGTCAAGTGCATTCAAGACCCCATATGACTGTGGTTCCTATCCCTGAATTTTCCCTCCATGAAATGAGGAGTAAAGTACTACACACCAGTGATGCATGAATAGAAGCCTCAAAAAATACTATGCGTAGACATGATATGAATGTTCTAACAGGCACTCAGGCCATTCTTTTACAAAAACCCTTTAGTTGTTGAAATATATTGTTCCTTGGAAGAAAATCATAATATTTATTACTTTTTTCTGGTTTATGAAAAAAAATTCTCAATTAACAGCATGCTTCAATTTCAAAACTAAATACACCACCTGCCTATTAGCTTACTAAGCTGTGGTAGCTACTTTACACACCTAAGTACATCGCAGAACTTTAGGAGGTGCTTTTATGTGAGTGAGACGTGTTCCTTTATATCTCTTAGACGACCTTAGAAATTTTGGAATTCAATAAGGTTACTGAGATCCTGAATAGGAAACATGGGTACCAAGAACTAAACATGTTTTAAGAGTGTCACCTACTGGCAAAATGTATTTCTGCATTTCTTGAGTATACAGAAAATGCAATTTTATCCACTTCAACAAATTCAGTTTCATGATCCTATACAAGGTGCAATAGGTCACGAAGAACAACAGTCACAATTAAAATTAGCTTTTTTAAATCAAAGGAAAAAAAAAAGAAAAAAGCATTGCAATTATTTCTGGAAAGAGTCTTTTTTTTTTTTTTTTTCCTCTAGAGAAGTATTAGATGCAGTTGCAATAAAATTGACAAAGAAAATAATTTAAAGGCTCATTAAAAAAAATTTAATAATAGAGGAAGATGAGGGAAATGGAACAAACAAATGACTGTTTGTCTATCCAGTGAATCCAGTTCATTAGCAGTTCACAAACTACACAGTTTCCCTTTAAAGGAGTTATTTTTGAAATTAGCATTTGCCAAATTACCAAATTATCACTGGTATGAGAAAATTCATACCAAGCACTACACTCAAGCAAATGCATTACTTTTCTGAACAGCCACCTTCCTGCAAAGAACACTAACAATTCATCTGTCATTATTTTCCAAAAAGGCTATAAAGTAGAAAGCTTAAGAATACTTAATGGGAACATCACCTACAAATAATCAAACAAGGTGAGATCAAGAACTTGAGGGGCTGTGCTCAAAGCTCATGTACCTCCCTCACCTTCCCTACTGAACAATGCCTGGCATTGCTCCAGACTTAGGGAAGAGTGGCTGGAAAGCTGCCCAGGTGACGTGGTGGTGTTGGCTGACAATGGCTGAACACAAGCCAGCAGTGTGCCCAGGTGGCCAAGAAGGCCAATGGCATCCTGGCCTCCATCAGCAACAGTGTGGCCAGCAGGACCAGGGCAGTGATTGTCCCCGTGTACTCAGCACTGGTGAGGCCGTGCCTTGAGTCCTGTGCCCAGTTTTGGGCCCTCACTACAAGAAAAACATTGAGATGCTGGAGCATGCCCAGAGAAGGAAAACAGAGCTGGTGAAGGGTCTGGAGCTCAAGTCCTGTGAGGAGTGGCTGAAGGAGCTGGGGTTGTTTAGCCTCCAGAAAAGGAGGCTCAGGGGTGACCTTATTGCTCTCTACAACTACCTGAAAGGAGGTTGTAGCCAGGTGGGGACTGGCCTCTTCTCCCATGCAACTAGTGACAGGACAAGAGGAAACAGCCTCAAGCTGCACCAAGGGAGGTTAAGGTTGGACGACAGAAAGAATTTCTTCATTGAAAGGTTTGTCAGGCATTGGAATGGACTGTCCAGGAAGGTGGTAGAGTCACCATCCCGGGAGGTGTTCAAGAAATGACTGGACGTGGCACTTAGTGCCATGGTCTAGTTGACAAGGTGGTGACTGGTCAAAGGTTGGACTCAATGATCTGGGCAGTCTTTTCCAACCTCAATGGTTCTATGATTCTCCGTAATTCTGAGATACACGATTACTTGATAATCTCAGTTTTTATTTCTAATAAAAAGGTTCAAAATTCCATAGATGCAGATAAAGGAAAGCAAAGAAGACCAATATATTTTCTAAGTATTTTAGAAGAAACTGTCAGCTTTGCTAAGTACAGTTCTGAGTACCTGAATGCTTGGCAAATTAAGAAGGGATGTAAGTAGCTGCATATTTTATGGTGGCCCTGGGTTCACGCCAAGCTACATATTCCAACTTTTGTCTTTTTCTTAAAAATAAAAGGAACTGCTGCCTCTCCAGTACCTTTCTTCACCCCCTTCAGTTTCCAAAGGAGCAGGAACCAAAAGAAAAGTACACTGCTTTGGTCCTTAGCATACGGTGGCGTCACAAGATATTATCGGTGCTGATACATTCCAATTAACTTTCTTGCATAATGAAACATCTACATCAGTTAGATATTTCACAAGCTTCACTAATGTGCTTCTCTTCCATTCATTTTTATTGATTATATAGAATATCTAAACAGTTTTTAGCACAAGATGGACTCTGCTAAGGCAGATTATTTAGCAGTTATAATTATTGGAAGTGCAAATTTCCCCCTTGGAATGATTTATATCTATTTCTTGTCCAAAACTGAAATGTCAAAGATTAGATTAAGATGCTGAAATATGACTGGTAATAACCAACTTCAGAACCTTAATGCAGCTCAGAACAAAAGAATATCCATTATACATACTGCAAGCATACTGCTTCCCTTGTAAACAATGTATTAATCTTCTATGACACATACAGTCATTCTAATATTTCCTTAACTTAATGTCCACATAACTTTAACATATCTACCTTACTTGTCCTTGAATGCAAACTGCAAATCACCCAGTTAATTACAATTACATAAAACTGGCACTCAAAAAGCTCTAAAAACAAAGATAGCCCAGAATCAGTCTTCTGTACTCTCCTTTCTTGATACCAAAAGAATTTACAGTAAGTGTTCAACATCTTCCACATTTTACAACATATTGCTATCATGAAACTGAACTCTCCAGTGAAACAGTATGTCTTTGCACAAATTCAAGAAAGAGGAAGGAAGAGATCTCTTACATGATGGCAAGGCCACAAAAGTTTACCTTTGCTCACCTGAGGACATCTCCAAACACCACGAAGTTTTAGCATCAAGTCTTAACACTAAAACTTTTAGGTCTTTAATTTACCTTCAAAAGTTCAGACTAGGTTATCTTTGCTATGGAAATAAACAACCTTGTCAAAAAGGTCAAATGCTTCAAAACCCTCCTATTGGTACATTTCAGACTAAGCAGACATGAAAAAAAGAAGTTTCACTTGCAAATGCCAACAAAACACTTTTGAAGGAAGTTCATATAGAAACAGTAGGTCACTATGAGCAACTCACTTAATTTGTCACTAGAACAGATGTTTACATCTTACACCAAGATATTGTTTTATTTCTCACATTTTTCTGTTCTTTTTCATTTTCTTTAAACCTCTTGTTCACTGATCATTTTTAAGTTTTACTACAGTGACGATGTGATGAACTTCACTCGAATTCTACCATCAGCATATGATGCAGAAAGTCCTGCTCTATCTGCAGCACTGAAATTTTTGTCAAAAGGAAGACTGTAAGATGAGTCAGCAGGAGGGGTGTAGTGATTATTAATGCATTTTATATAAAGGAAACAAGAATTTTTCAAACCCTTTCCATTTAATCCTTATCTTTTTTATATAAATTTATATTTTGATAAAAGCTTTGCGCTACACTTTTCAGCTCCCTTTTATATTTTATTCCCTACTAAAGCCAACCTAATCATTATTGTCTACTCCTAGGATCAGTTTACAGCCAGTTTACAGGAAAATATTAGAAAGATTAAAAAAGTAAAGCTAAGATAATTCACAAAAGTGAGCAGGTAATGGTAAGACACTATCAAAAGAAAATACCTTTTTAAACAATATTAAATAGGGACAGCAGAAAACACTTCATGTCCTACCACGTAAAAATATATATAGATCTTAACTAACACAGAGATAACTCCCTTTTTAACAAAAATGTATGTTCACAAAACATATGCAGGAAAAACTGTACTCACAACAGGGTTTTTTGTGTCTGGGTCAAATTCTGTAGAATTTGCATCTGAAACAGAAATTCAAAGTAAACACAGTACATTTGTTCTACATGCACTACAAACCTGTAACAGTTCTGTAGCATTTCAGGGCTTGTCTGCATTTAAACTACAATCATATGTTGAAACACTGCACCACTTCTGAAGCAAGCACAGGAGGTATATGACCTCAGACACACACATTCCCTTTCCTACTTTCCAAAACTCTTTCCTCTCAGCTCATAGTAGTAGAAATTCCTTGATGAGCTAAATCTCTTCATACTACTACTGCAGTGGTTGTGGTTTCTCTACTCTGGCTAAGGAAGGCAAATGAGAAAACCACTTTTACTTCTCGCCACCTGCACATTCCAGAAAGAGACTAGAGGTGAACTGTAAGCACACTTTCTCCTACGCTATAGATCAAGAAAGAGGTTTCAAGCAATGTGCATAATAAAGACTTCCTACTCCCTTGCACAGAGAGGTTGCACAGCGTATATGGCTGAAAATGATCTTGCTGCAAGAGCTAAGTATCTAACAATCATAGGATCTGTAAATAGTTCTAGTAATAGACATACATTTCACATAGAGAATAAAATTTCTTCTAAGCAAATCATATTCACACTAGCATACTGAGCTCACCTTTCCAATTCAAACAGTTTCTTGCAAATTCCACAACTGCTAACTGCATTCCCAGGCAAACTCCTAGAAAAAAAAACAAAAACAAAACCCCCAGAATTTAACAGGACTGACTAAGTACTTGCTCTTCTGTCTTAGACCTGACTACTTTGAAATCTTAGTACTCAGTGTATATGCACAGACTTATAAAAAGCTAAATCAAAAGTTGCCACTCAATGTAAAGTTCACACTTCAAACTTGGCACACTGTAAATACCTGTGACAGAATTACGTGCTTTAAGCCCTTTCAAAGATTTTTTTTCCTCCTGTCTATTTTACCAATAATTACTGCAAAGACAAACAGAACCTGAAAGCCTGGGTATATCCAGATTCAAAGTTTGCTTTGGCAGCTACTCAGAAACTTAAAAAAATTGTAAGAAATGTGGAGTAGGAATGAAATTTTGAGAGGCATTTACACAAACAGCACTCAGCTTATAGGCCAGATGACTTTACCACAATAAAATATATCAGTAAATCAACAAAAATAATCTAATACAACAAATGTGTCCAACAAAGACACCTATGTTTTCTGCACACTATTTAACATATATAATTATAGTGATTTAATTACAATGAGAAGCAAAGACTCTCCTTATACAGATGTAGTACACAACTATGACCCTGGGCATTATTTACACGGCAAGCATCCACAACATCATATATACTTCCCTAAGACAGAATCCTTCCCTAGTGTGGGGTTAATTTTATTTTTTTTAATCAAATCACTTAGCTTGCTATACATCTGCAAAACACAGTAATTTCTGACTCTAACGATCTTACCAAGAAAAGGTTTTTTTTTTGATCTTGCCCAGGAGATAGCTTGGAGTTTGCCTTCTGTTCCCCTAATTCCAAACCCTCCTGGGACCAGAATGCCACTGTAATGACAGCCATATATAAAAGAATTAACATGTAGAATCAAGCCAGCAGAGGAAATCCATACAAACTGAAGACTTTTGAGGCAACTAAGCAAGCACAATGCATGAAAGGTATGTTTTGTATGAAAAGTACAAAGAATTTAACTCTAAATTTGGAGATTTGTTTCATCCACCCACCCCAATTCTCTTCTGACCAGCCTCATGCTTCACAGTGAAATTCCGACTGCTTAAACACATATTGCTCAAATAAACTATCTATATATTCACTACTCTAGGATCCCAACACCAAAACTTTACATCTTCTAAGCAATAATGTAGAAACTAAATGCATTTTGACAACAAACAATATCCCTTTACAAATACAAATTGAAATCCTGGCAATGATTCTTAACAGAGACATTTGCAATGTGTCAACAGCATTTACAAGCACCTTTCACTGACCTACACTGTAAAGAAAGTCCAGCTATCCAAAAAACCAAAACAAGAATAACCCTAACCCAACAACTAAACAACTGCAACTTGTCTAAAGAGAATAAAGCAGAGTTTGAGGGTATAGGCTGATACCTCATTTCCTATGTCTGAAGCTTGTCACCAACCACGTAATATATCCCTTTACATAAGTAACAGAAGTTTGGATGCATTGAGAAATTATCTGATTTATTGAAACATTTTTCAGCATATGAAATCAATATCATGGTCTGCGTTTTGGACACAGAATACCCAACATCACTTACTCTGCTTTGCACAGTTTGTGCCATGCCTGGTGATATTTCACTGAGTTCTCTGCTTCTGTAGAACGTTCAAGTTCTGTTGAATCTATGTACTAATAAAGAAAAATAGGCAATGAAATGGTCTTTTCTTCCACAGAAAGAATAATCAAGCATTAAGAAAAATTATTAAGCATTTCAAGTGAATTTCTGAATAAACCTGTAACAAATTCACTGAAGACCCAGTACTTGTTTTGAGGACACAGTGTTTGCTCCAGTTGCAGCAATCCATGCACCTTTTTTTGCACATACCTCAGAAGTTCTGCCTGCCAACAGTCCTGTTTGGCATCCTCCAGGCAATCAGACTTGCTAGAATGCTTCACATAACTGTGTACCCAGGTTATCTCCCTATGGCAATCAGAAACCAGTCGAGGAGTGGTGCTGATAGCCGGGATGTTCACTTCCCTGCCTTTTGGGTGCCACAGTTTATCTAATCTTATTATAAGATTGGATAAACCTGCATTGTCTGTGAAAAAGGCATTTCTGGGGAGTGTTGTGTAGAAAGGGAGACATATTACCCACGCCCTACTAGAAATCCTGCATTAGAGTCTCTAGTGCCATTAAGCAGCACAGCTCCTGAGGTACCACTAGAGTGAAGTGAGATGGCTATGTACTGCACTGGGGACACAAAAGATCAGAGTTGGTTCTGGGTTTTGTCAGTCTTCTCCTCAGAATAATGTAATTAATCACATCCTGCTCTAGAGTCCCTCCTCCACAAAAATGAGATCATCCAAACTGACAGAATTCACCCATGTGCAGAGAAATGAATCTGACAAGAAGGTTGCTGACAGTTTTCCAGACAGACAGGATTGCCTCCTAGAACTACTTCTGAATGTTGTTATTCAATACTAGAATACTACAGGATCTACTAAAAGGACATTTTATCATGCTTGGGGGTTGGAAAGAGAAACTAATTACAGTTTAAGTTAATTGTGCCAAAGGAGCCAAAGATATTGAGCAGGCACATTTATCACTTCAAGCAGCATCAACATTTCATCATTCAGATGAAGCAGTTCCTTCAGAGCATGGCATTCTATCAAGAGCCTTTGGGCAAAAACACTAAAAGGAGGTTAGGACATGCAGGTAAGTACAGCAGGAACCCTTGTTTGTTAACCTTTCAGCACTGCACTGGAGCTTAGCAACCATCAAGTCTCATGCTTGTTAATGCAAAAGCCCCACCAAAGTTAAGACCAGCTGCACACAAAGCTGTGTGTTTGCAGACAGGGCATCTTTCACTTTTTTGCTAAAAGCAAAGCTATTTTACATATCAAAAAAATTTCCCACCATGCAGCTGCCAGTAACACTATAGTGACAGAATCACATAAGTCAGAAAGGACCTTGTGAGGTCTCTAGCCCAACCCTCTACTCAAACCAATTCAAACTGGAGCAAGTTGCTAAGGATCATCAAAAGCCAGGATCTAAAAATCTCCAGGGATCAATTCTAGCTGTTCCCACTTTCTTGTTTTTCATGCACACAAAAACAACTTTTTGTAGTATTTGCTCATAATCTTCCCAAGGAACAAAGACAGGCTGACCACCTGCCATTTTTGCCTTTTTCTTTTTTTTTTAACATGGATACAACATTTGCCCTTTTCTAGTCATAGAATCATAGATATACTAAGGTTAGAAAGGATCCTTGAATCCATCCACTAACCCAGCACTGCCAAGTCCACCGTGAAACCATTTCTCATGAGAACAAGAGAAATTTAACTTTGATAGTAAATACAAATTTGCAGGTCAAGTCTGTTTTTTCATCAGATCCAGTTTTGGGTAACTTCAGTGTTCCCTTCAGATAACTTTAGTTCCAAAAAAAAAATAAAATAAAAATTACATCTGTAAACATTTCTTTTAAAAAATTAGATGCTTGGCCTGTCTTTATTTATCTGCATGATTCATTTTCTGATTTTCACATGAATTAAAACTGCCTCACATGATGGGAACTAGTACGGTATCACAGTAGATTCAACAGTATTCCTGAAAGCAAAAGCCAGAAATATCCTCACCATTAAATCCAGTTTGTAATTAATTGCCAGTGCAGAGTGTTCCAGAGCTTTGAAAACAGATGCATAGCAGTCACTTAGCTTGGTGTACTTGCCAACGAGAGCTATGGAACACACCTTCAGCAACCTTTCATATCTGACAAAAAAAAGTTTTTCAGTTACTACATCAGATTTCACAAAGAAAACATTTTAAGTGTTTGCTTTTTCTTAAACTCCACAAAATACCTTCTAGAATTTCCTAACTGACCATGTTTTTAAACTTAGACCATTCACAGGTGTTGATCAGCACCTGGACTCCAGTCCAGTCTGGTGACTTCACAGCAGCTAAAAACCTAACTTGAATTAAAACACTTCTTAAAAAAGCAGCAGGATGTAGAATACCTGCAAGCCATTTTCTTCCATTTCATTAGAAGATCACTTGGCTGGTCATCAATAGGTAAATTTAACCTCTGTTTAAAATACTTAATGATGCCTTGCTCCTCCAACAGGATTGGTACTCGGTAAGTAGAAGAAACATCATGAATAAATATCACCTAGCAAAAGAAAGCATAACATAAAAAGACTTACCTAAAATTCTTCATAGGAAACATACATTCTATTTTTTGGATACTACAAGCATTTTTTCTTTCTATATACATTCTAATTTTTAAATACTTTTCTTTTGAATGAGCAGGACAGCTTGGCAGCTACCATCCTAAGGATATAACATTAAGAAAGAATCACTAACTGCTCTAAGTTACAGCTGTGCTGACTATGGAGACTGTTAACAAGCTAAAGATACTGCTTTTGTCTTGACAGTACATAGACTCAAGAGAGGAGGGAGGACTCACTTGAAATAAATAAAATAAAAATCCACTTAGAGGAAGACTGTGGACAAAACAGCACATGGTCTTCATGGACTAGTTATGACTGTCCTGGAAGCCAGTTCTGGGCACACAAAACACAAGAAAACAATCAGGAGTAGTCAGCATAGATTCACCAAAGGAAGGTCATACTTGACCAATCTGATAAACTTTCATGATTAAGTGACTGGCCTGGCAGATAAGAGGAGAGCAGTGGATATCATCTACCTGGACTTCAGGAAGGCTTTTAGCACTATCTCTTCTAAGATCCTCATAGACAACCTGTTCATGTATGGATGAGCAGACAGCAAGGAAACTGTCAGAACGGCTGGGCCCAGAGGGTGATGATCAGCAGCACAAAGTCTAGTTGAAAGCCAGTAATTATCAGAGTACCCCAGAGGCCAGTACTGGGTCCAGTCCTGTTTAACATCCTCATTAATATTATTATTATATAATTATATATTATGTAATATGTATTATATTATACTATATTATATTACTGATTCTGTATGATGGGGCAGAGCACACCTTCAGCCAGTTTTTAGATGACACCAAAGTGGTATAAGTGGTTGACAGGGCAGAGGGCTGTGCTGCCACTCTGCCAAGAGGTAGAAGAAATGGGCTGACAGGGGCCTCATGAAGTTCAACAAGGGTAAGTGCAAAGCCCTGCATGTGGGCAGAAACAACCCCAGGCACCATTACATGACACCACCCAGGTGGAAAGAAGCTTAACAAGAAACAACCTAGTGAAGTCGAACATTAGCCAACCCCTGGTACCCCGGGCTGCACTAGGAGGAGTGTTGCCAGCAGGTCAAGGGATATATGATCCTTTCCCTCTACCCAGCACTGGTGAGGCCACACCTGCAGTACTGAGTCCAGCTCTGAGCTTCCCAGTACAAGAGAGACACGGACATATTGATTTCAGAAAAAATCCAGGATCATTCTAGGGAAAATAAGACATGCACATAAGTGTCTTCTGAAATCCAAAAGTGGTTCATTAATTTTAAGACACACAGTGGACTTGAGAATGGTTTTGCAGAATTGTGATGAATACAGTTATGAAAAGAAAAAAGAACAAAAGAAAGAGGGGAAAAAAAAGGCTGCAACACAGTGTGGCACCTAACAGTTCAGTTAGGGTGGGTCTAACCACCAGACAAACATATATTACACAATTCAGTGCTGAGGAAAGACATTTGAGCTAGCCAGAACAGTGTAAGAAGAATGCAGCACTCTGCCCTCATGAAAGTTGTGACTGGTACAACCATTCAGGTACTACCCTAAAAGGTAGAAATTCGGAAAAAAAGGAACAGTGCCATGAAGACAGCTCTCTCCCTGCCATGGAGCTCTTATGGAAGTTCAGTTATGCATGTTGCTCTTGGTCCACTTAGACTGACATAATAATTGCAGTTGGGATCTGAGCACGTATGTGCTTACACGCAGCCTGATACTGCCAGAAGAGCACACACCATTTCTCTTTGACTGAATTTTCAGTTGTCTCTCTCTGGCTGAAGAGAAACCACAAAGCATATCTGAAGAATTTTCTGGAAGCTAGCTTGATCAAGGGTGTTGTCTTCCACAGATAGTAAGATGGAAGGAATGAGGGGTGGGGGGTATGAAGCAATGGCCTCACTGTTCTCTAAGTCCTCATCTGGAATCTTGCTATCAAAAGCTTTTTCTTACACATTTGCAGAGATAGAAGTCAACACTGACACATATTTGAAATACCACGTAACTACTTGCATCTATTTTGAATTTTTACTATAGCAAAAAATATTAAAGAGCATTTGATTTCTCAAAATTAATATCTGAATAGCAATTAATCACAAACTATTAGGCAAAAATCACACATGAATTATAAAAGGATATATAACTACACAGTAGATGTTCTAAACATGTTGAAAGAGCATAAATAGCCTATTACATATGATCACAGTAAAAGTGTTCATGTAATTGCAATCATCTATGGACATAAGCAAATCAGCTGACTTTAACCACACTTTGTTCATCCATTACTACAATCACCTGAGATCATTTATGGGCAATAACCAATCAGAGTTGTGAAAACTGTGCAGTTTCAAGCTATGTATAGCAACTAACCATGCACTCAAAATCTATTCCTTTGATTAGCTTTTACATAACATGCATTTAAATTATTAAGGACCATTTGACATAAAACCTAACATACAAACTTCCAGTATTTTTAAAATGCTATAGTGTACAGGACAGCAAGATAAAAATTATAAAAACAATTACATGTTAATGAAGCAGTCTGAGATTGAAAACAGAAACACATAGAAATATTTGTATGCTTTCCTACATGTTTAAATAATGACGAATAAAATATTAAGGTACTGACCTGCTCAGGCTCCACATGACAAAACATGGAAATCTTTTCCTTCACCGCCATTTCTATAGGTTTTGCACTTCTGCAGACTATCTGTCATAACAGAAGGAAAAATTTCAAGTATTTACTAGGCAAACCAACAGAAGAGCCTCAATACTTCATAGAAAAATTCATCTCCTTTGGAAGCAGAGCACAAACAAATGTGCCTTTTATACTCTTTTTCCTCTTTCAGAGTTCTGCAATATATCATAGCTCACAAATAATCTACTAGCAAGGCAGAAGTAATCCAGTCACCTACCCATAGTGACGAATTTTTATGTATCTTTCATTGACACTCTGCAATACTGCTTTCTCATGTTATCCTTTCTTGCAGCTATTACTGTAATAGTTTGTCTAAAGTCTAGCAGCTCTGTAAGGATGAATAATATGATGAATCAAAAGGAATACTGTAATCTTATCAGTAAAATCAGATTTAAATTTAGAGCATTAATACTTAGCTTACATGCATATTTCTAGTATTTCAGTAGTTTAGCATCTTCTCGTAATTTTTAATTTGCACATCATGACAAAAAGAATGAGGCCAAAGATGAGAAAACTATTTCAAAATTGTGTGGGGTTTTTTACTGCTGCAGTTATTCTGCTAGTATTTTGCTGATACATTCAAAACTCAGTAATTTTAGGAAATATTGATCATTTTTAAACAATGAAGAAAATTACTATATGTTTGGTGTCTGTTGAAAGGGGTCTTGGTTTTGCATTATGTAACTCCAGGCAACTAGCTCAAAATGCAGAACTGCTCTATCAATGTGTCTGTTGATTACTTTGTCTACTACCTTAAGTTATTTTGAAACCTGAAAGTGTAACAGAAAGTAGGATGATCCTGTTACAAGATTAATTCATTATTTTCCCCATCTTTCTAGCAAATGCATCTACTTAATGCACTAAGCCCCTTTGTTCAGAAACTTGTAGCTGACCTTTGATCACCTTGCTAATGCAGTTTAACTACACTGATATTGATGAAGTCTAATTAACTTCCCCTACTTAGTGCACATTCAAGTAAAAAAAGCACCAGGACAAAATCTGCACATTCTATTCAAGTAAGCACAACTCATACTTAAAAATTCGGTACAGTTTGAAGGTGAAGGTATAATTCATAAACCTTGATAGTAAGAGCACATGACGAAATTAATTTTGAAAACTATAATCCATTTTACTGAGGCAAATTTAAAGTTAATGCAGACAGAGAAATCAAAAACATCAGAATCAGCATGAAAATAAAGAAACTACAATAACAGTGGCAGAGATGCATCTCAAAGAAACATAACACACAGAAGATGAGAACAATTCAATTGAACAGGGCAGCACTGACAAGCATATACTCAAGTTTTCAGTGCTGTAGCAGAGTACATGATACCTGCAGCTGTAGCGTGCTCCTTAGGCACTTCGGACACCCCACAGAGAACAGAAAGGCTCTTGCACACACAGCTGAGACCATCCCAGCATGCCACCTCAAGAAGCCTGGGAGCAGGCAGGGAGGCAGCAGGCATTCAGAACAGGACAAGCCAAGTTCAGATCAGGCAGCCTGGCAGCATAGCTCATGGAGGAAGCCCTCCTGACTGCTGCTGGAGGAGCTTCCCCGTGCGCTGTCTTGGCCTTGGGCCTCTGCCCAAGAGAGTTACCATTTAAACATTGTCTTGAAGCAGCACCCAAGGAACTTCATAAGGGCGCCAGGAGGCTACACTCTGACTGTAATCTCTTGCTGCTTTAGCAGTCAATAGCAACAGTCACAAAAAATAAAAAGATACTGTGCTTCTGGCAGTGCCAGAACTGCCCCAGGCAAGAACTCAAGATGTGAGAAAGTGACTACATTTGTCTCTTTTCTTTTTATTACACACACCCACTTAAAAACCTTTTTAAAAATTTTTATTTTCTGGGTGGGGAGGGGGGGGGGAGAAGTCAGGCACTGGCAATTATCCTAACGGCCTTCAAAAATGACATGCAACTTTCCCTATGCAATTAGCACCTCAAGAGGGATCTTGAAGTTTAGGCTCTGAAGCTTCAAATACTGCATTGCATTTATAAAAGTCCTTCCCTCCACAAGACAATTACAATCACCAGTTCACAACAATTGGAAGTTAAACACATCTGTCGTATATCCTGTTTATAAATCCATTGGTTTTGTAGTTATAAAAACACTCATTCATAAGTGTAAAATGCAAGAGCTCAAAAAAATCAGAGAGAAGCACAACACAGAATTTAATTGTGTGACTATATTTTCAAGAATCATTTTTCCTTTTTGAAGACATACACATTGCTTCTTCTTAATCACGCATAAAAAGAAATTTTTGAGAATGTTAGGAGCCAGAAACATTCTAGTTCTTCCCACAAAGCAAACTGAGATTTCAGATTATTTTTAGCAGTGAAGAATTATTTTTGCAAAAAGATGTCTTTAAAAGAACATAGCTACAGTCCCAAGATATTGCAAGGAGTTAGTTCAATTAAGTTAACTTTGAGTAAACTTGAGTAATTTGATTTCCTGTGGCTTTAGTGAAGCAATACAGCACATATTTTGCACTTCTTGTTTCTCCTCAGAGACTAAGGCTTATTCTTTGAACACAGGTTATGCAAGGACATTTTTAGATGAACCATTAATAAAAAAAAATCTGTATTTACTGACTCACCAAATCTGGAGACAAGCCTAGACCCCTCAGCGCTCGAACACTGTTCTGTGTTGGTTTTGTCTTCTGTTCACCAGTGGCGTTAGGCTGGAAAGGCACATTTTGAAAGCTTGAATAAGCAACCAACCTCTACTAAGAAAACAGTTACAGATTAAAAGAGAAAATTCGTTGCAAGTAATATTTTCAGGACGTAAACATACCCAAACAGAGCCACAATATGCCAGAAACATATAAGTAATTAACAGTGGTGACACTTCTAACAAATACTCTGAAGACCCTAATTCAGGTCAGGTTTATTTTGTCTTTTTTTTTTCTTTCAGAGAAAAGTTTCAATATAATTGACTCGGGTAGAAGAATAATAATGTTCAAAAAATTGGATTTTGCTAATAAATGGAGAGTGTCGAAAACAGCACAAAACCTCCAGTGACTGTCTTTGAAAATATTCATATGTAGCAAATAATTCTGTTTTCAAATACACAGAATTAATCCTACCAACTGCTGATCAATCCATAGCTGTAGTTAATAATAAGAACCTTTTTATCTGTACAAGTGAAATCACATCATCATTACCAACCTTTGCTTACAAAAATCTCCTCAATGAATACTTACATCTCGTGAAGTAAAATTTAGAGTTCAAATGAAAAAGTACTTTTAGCCCTGTACAAAGAGTTGTAGTGGTCTTGACTCCAGCATAAAAGGGTTAATGGGACAAATAAACAAATACAAAGCCCAATACAGAGTGAAATTTATTTTATTAATTCTCATAACTTACCTGCGGTACTAGGCTAACATGGATGTTACAAAAGTTTTCTCTTTTTGCTTTGAACTGAAACTGTCTAAATGCTTCAACAAATGGCATTCCTTCAATATCTCCAATGGTTCCACCCAGCTGAAAAGTAAAGCTTAGATATGTCAGCGGTAGAAAGAAAAAACAAAAGAAAAAAAAGTCTCTCTTATATACTTCGACATGTTTTCTGAAATTTTTGTCTTAAAAAAACCTGACAACTGAAATTTGCAGGCACACTCTGAAAAGAACCCTCATCTACTCTGCGCATTTTGTTTCTTGTGGAAAACATTAAACAACTTTCCAGTTTTGTTATAATCATTTTACACCAAATACATAAGCTTCCCATGGGAAGATGTTCGGTGTTACTGAATAATACATGCTTTCACGCTGCCATCAAAGGGGTGAACCACTAATCAACAGTTAAGCTGATGTGAAGGTTTTTGTGCAGAAGAACTTTATTTTCCTGTCAGATTAAGAAGCAGTTGTGATCAACAAGATACAGACATTTCCCACCATCACCATGGCTTTCCAACATCAATAAATGTTTTTTACCAAATATTTATTACCAAACCAAAATGCAAGACTAAGTCCATGCTAAAACTTATTTATAAAGACAGANACAGATAGAGCTATAGTAGACTAAGCGCTGAATGACGCAGTTTAACACAAAAGTCTGACAAAACAGTTGTGTTTCAGAATGATCTTTCTGTGCCACCAAGCGGCTTTTGACAGAATTGCACATTTGTGTTCATCTAGTATCAGAAAAACTTGTGATAATTACATTTGTACATGGTATACATGTTCAGTCTAACTCCTTCAGGATTTTGCCATGGAAAAATTATTCTTAGAGTACTGACAAAATACTTTTATCAGGCTGGAGGTACAAGTGTATAACAAGAAAAGAAAATAAACCCCTTATATGGAGAAAACAGAAAATTAAGACTGAAGTTAAAGGGTTGATAAGACCATCACTCATTTCTGTTCTTGTGCAACTTCCGTATTTACCTTTTTCATATTTGTTTTAAATTAAATGTTTGACTCTCACTGTGCACATCATAAAAAAGATCTATAGTTATACTGGTGAGTATATTTGAATCAAGAGAGATTCTTCTGCCTAAGAAATACTGAGCAATTCTGCTGCCCAGGTCATAAAGTTTATTGCACTATTGATTATGGTGGTCACTTCTGGTATTAAATGTATGACATATTCTTCTGTCAAATTCTCAAGTATAATCTTTTCTGGTATTGTCTGCTGTAGTAGTAATACTAGCAATTAGTGTCTTTCCTCCTCTCCATGCCCTACTGTGGGTGGGGGAAATTTGTTGTTTCCATTGTGCAGAACATCAGCAGGTTAAGTGATTAAAAAAGTTGCTGCCAAAGGTCTTAAAGATAACACCAGAAAGTGGAAAACCAATTTACACATTATTTAAATCTATGCCTTTAAACATGACCACAAGTAACAAGATGGACATTTGAATTCTTATGGAAAGCTAGAATGTTACTCCTATTGACCACGGGGGATTTCAAGTAATACACAAGTTTTCTCAATATTGTGAGCAGTATAAAGCTTCAGTCAAATGCCTGGATCTTGGAATAGGCAGTTCACATTACAGTACCTGTCTGCTTTAATTCCATAAGTTAATAAACTCTTAAGCAGCTCAGTTTCAGCAGTATTCTAAAATGGATTTAGTCAAATGGAAGTTGTAGGGATAAGACCACACCTATCACTTTCAGAACAAACCAAAGAATATAAAATGTGTCTTTACATTGCTGCTCTCCATAAAACTTCAGTCTGACCTTTTCAGCATATGGAGCAAAGAGAAAGCAAGCTAGTATTTTATGTTCACTGCAGATATATAACCTAAAAAGTTCCATACTTGCCTCAATTACACAAATTTGTGGCTCCTGTCTGTCATCATCCACTGGAACTTTTGCCTGATTCATTACCCATTCCTGAACTGCATCAGTGATGTGTGGAACAACTACAAGACAAAATCAAAGAAGGTAAGCCTAGCTTACTGTAGGTTACTTTATTTTTGCATGCATAGGGGGAAAAATGAACAGCAAGTCAAGAGGAAACTGCTAGGTCCTTTCTCTCTTCCTCCTTTCCTTGACCCCAGAACCCAAACGTTACAGGAATACGCCCATTTCTCTTGGAAGGGAGAAAGTAAGGTGGTGCAGCAAGGAGCAGCCTGTTCTAGCTGATCACTTCTTTTGTGAAGACTGAATGGACTAGTATCCAACAAAATTAAAAATATTACCTTGAACAGTTTTCCCCAGGTAATCACCATGTCTTTCTTTATTAATGACATGCTGATATATCTTTCCAGTGGTGATATTGTTATCTTTATAGAGATTAATGTCCAAAAATCTCTCATAATTTCCCAAATCCAAGTCAACTTCTCCACCATCATTCAATACAAAAACCTCACCTGAAAAAAGAAAGTGAAAACATAGATAAAAACAATAAAAAAATAAGAAATTATTAAACACCCAGCAGGAATACCACAAATGTCTTAAAACAGAAGAATTTTTCTTTTAAATGACAGAACAACACATCAATAAAGCACATACTGCAACCCAATCTATATTGCCATTCTGTGTGACTTAATATCCAAGTCATTAGTTTTACATCCAATGTCTGTCCCTCAG